ATGGGTTCCTGTGGTGTAACGTAGGGGTGGTGTATGGGTTCCGGTGGTGTAATGTAGTGGTGGTGTATGGGTTCCTGTGGTGTAACGTAGTGGTGGTGTATGGGTTCCTGTGGTGCAATGGTGGTGTATGGGTTCCTGTGGTGTAATGTAGTGGTGATGAATGGGTTCCTGTGGTGTACTGTAGTGGTGGTGTATGGGTTCCTGTGGTGTAACGTAGTGGTGGTGTATGGGTTCCTGTGGTGTAATGTAGTGGTGGTGTATGGGTTCCTGTGGTGTAGTGGTGGTGTATGGGTTCCTGTGGTGTAATGTAGTGGTGGTGTATGGGTTCCTGTGGTGTAATGTAGTGGTGGTGTATGGGTTCCTGTGGTGTAATGTAGTGGTGGTGTATGGGTTCCTGTGGTGTAATGTAGTGGTGGTGTATGGGTTCCTGTGGTGTAATGTAGTGGTGGTGTATGGGTTCCTGTGGTGTAATGTAGTGGTGGTGTATGGGTTCCTGTGGTGTAATGTAGTGGTGGTGTATGGGTTCCTGTGGTGTAATGTAGTGGTGGTGTATGGGTTCCTGTGGTGTAATGTAGTGGTGGTGTATGGGTTCCTGTGGTGTAATGTAGTGGTGGTGTATGGGTTCCTGTGGTGTAATGTAGTGGTGGTGTATGGGTTCCTGTGGTGTAATGTAGTGGTGGTGTATGGGTTCCTGTGGTGTAATGTAGTGGTGGTGTATGGGTTCCTGTGGTGTAATGTAGTGGTGGTGTATGGGTTCCTGTGTGTAGTGTGGTGTATGGGTTCCTGTGGTGTAATGTAGTGGTGGTGTATGGGTTCCTGTGGTGTCTGTAGTGGTGGTGTAGTGGTGGTGTATGGGTTCCTGTGGTGTAATGTAGTGGTGGTGTATGGGTTCCTGTGGTGTAATGTAGTGGTGGTGTATGGGTTCCTGTGGTGTAATGTAGTGGTGGTGTATGGGTTCCTGTGGTGTAATGTAGTGGTGGTGTATGGGTTCCTGTGGTGTAATGTAGTGGTGGTGTATGGGTTCCTGTGGTGTAATGTAGTGGTGGTGTATGGGTTCCTGTGGTGTAATGTAGTGGTGGTGTATGGGTTCCTGTGGTGTAATGTAGTGGTGGTGTATGGGTTCCTGTGGTGTAATGTAGTGGTGGTGTATGGGTTCCTGTGGTGTAATGTAGTGGTGGTGTATGGGTTCCTGTGGTGTAATGTAGTGGTGGTGTATGGGTTCCTGTGGTGTAATGTAGTGGTGGTGTATGGGTTCCTGTGGTGTAATGTAGTGGTGGTGTATGGGTTCCTGTGGTGTAATGTAGTGGTGGTGTATGGGTTCCTGTGGTGTAATGTAGTGGTGGTGTATGGGTTCCTGTGGTGTAATGTAGTGGTGGTGTATGGGTTCCTGTGGTGTAATGTAGTGGTGGTGTATGGGTTCCTGTGGTGTAATGTAGTGGTGGTGTATGGGTTCCTGTGGTGTAATGTAGTGGTGGTGTATGGGTTCCTGTGGTGTAATGTAGTGGTGGTGTATGGGTTCCTGTGGTGTAATGTAGTGGTGGTGTATGGGTTCCTGTGGTGTAATGTAGTGGTGGTGTATGGGTTCCTGTGGTGTAATGTAGTGGTGGTGTATGGGTTCCTGTGGTGTAATGTAGTGGTGGTGTATGGGTTCCTGTGGTGTATGGGTTCCTGTAGTGGTGTGATGTATGGGTTCCTGTGGTGTAATGTAGTGGTGGTGTATGGGTTCCTGTGGTGTAATGTAGTGGTGGTGTATGGGTTCCTGTGGTGTAATGTAGTGGTGGTGTATGGGTTCCTGTGGTGTCTGTAGTGGTGGTGTATGGGTTCCTGTGGTGTATGTGTAGTGGTGGTGTATGGGTTACTGTGGTGTAATGTAGTGGTGATGTATGGGTTCCTGTGGTGTAGTGGTGATGTATGGGTTCCTGTGGTGTAATGTAGCGGTGGTGTATGGGTTCCTGTAATGTAATGTAGTGGTGATGTATGGGTTCCTGTGGTGTAGTGGTGATGTATGGGTTCCTGTGGTGTAGTGGTGATGTATGGGTTCCTGTGGTGTAATGTAGTGGTGGTGTATGGGTTCCTGTGGTGTAATGTAGTGGTGGTGTATGGGTTCCTGTGGTGTAGTGGTGATGTATGGGTTCCTGTGGTGTCTGTAGTGGTGGTGTATGGGTTCCTGTGGTGTCTGTAGTGGTGGTGTATGGGTTCCTGTGGTGTAATGTAGTGGTGGTGTATGGGTTCCTGTGGTGTCTGTAGTGGTGGTGTATGGGTTCCTGTGGTGTAATGTAGTGGTGGTGTATGGGTTCCTGTGGTGTAATGTAGTGGTGGTGTATGGGTTCCTGTGGTGTAATGTAGTGGTGGTGTATGGGTTCCTGTGGTGTAATGTAGTGGTGGTGTATGGGTTCCTGTGGTGTAATGTAGTGGTGGTGTATGGGTTCCTGTGGTGTAATGTAGTGGTGGTGTATGGGTTCCTGTGGTGTAATGTAGTGGTGGTGTATGGGTTCCTGTGGTGTAATGTAGTGGTGGTGTATGGGTTCCTGTGGTGTAATGTAGTGGTGGTGTATGGGTTCCTGTGGTGTAATGTAGTGGTGGTGTATGGGTTCCTGTGGTGTAATGTAGTGGTGGTGTATGGGTTCCTGTGGTGTAATGTAGTGGTGGTGTATGGGTTCCTGTGGTGGTGGTGTATGTAGTGGTGTAATGTAGTGTATGGGTTCCTGTGGTGTAATGTGGTGGTGATGTATGGGTTCCTGTGGTGTCTGTAGTGGTGGTGTATGGGTTCCTGTGGTGTAATGTGGTGGTGGTGTATGGGTTCCTGTGGTGTAATGTAGTGGTGGTGTATGGGTTCCTGTGGTGTAATGTAGTGGTGGTGTATGGGTTCCTGTGGTGTAATGTAGTGGTGGTGTATGGGTTCCTGTGGTGTAATGTAGTGGTGGTGTATGGGTTCCTGTGGTGTAATGTAGTGGTGGTGTATGGGTTCCTGTGGTGTAATGTAGTGGTGGTGTATGGGTTCCTGTGGTGTAATGTAGTGGTGGTGTATGGGTTCCTGTGGTGTAATGTAGTGGTGGTGTATGGGTTCCTGTGGTGGTGTAGTGGTGGTGTATGGGTTCCTGTGGTGTAATGTAGTGGTGGTGTATGGGTTCCTGTGGTGTAATGTAGTGGTGGTGTATGGGTTCCTGTGGTGTAATGTAGTGGTGGTGTATGGGTTCCTGTGGTGTAATGTAGTGGTGGTGTATGGGTTCCTGTGGTGTGTATGGGTTCCTGTGGTGTAATGTAGTGGTGGTGTATGGGTTCCTGTGGTGTAATGTAGTGGTGGTGTATGGGTTCCTGTGGTGTAATGTAGTGGTGGTGTATGGGTTCCTGTGGTGTAATGTAGTGGTGGTGTATGGGTTCCTGTGGTGTAAAGTAGTGGTGGTGTATGGGTTCCTGTGGTGTAATGTAGTGGTGGTGTATGGGTTCCTGTGGTGTAATGTAGTGGTGGTGTATGGGTTCCTGTGGTGTATGTAGTGGTGGTGTATGGGTTCCTGTGATGTAATGTAGTGATGGTGTTTGGGTTCGTGTGGTGTAATGTAGTGGTGGTGTATGGGTTCCTGTGGTGTCTGTAGTGGTGGTGTATGGGTTCCTGTGGTGTAATGTAGTGGTGATGTATGGGTTCCTGTGGTGTAATGTAGTGGTGGTGTATGGGTTCCTTTGGTGTAATGTAGTGGTGATGTATGGGTTCCTGTGGTGTAATGTAGTGGTGATGAATGGGTTCCTGTGGTGTTATGTAGTGGTGGTGTATGGGTTCCTGTGGTGTAATGTAGTGGTGGTGTATGGGTTCATGTGGTGTATGGGTTCCTGTGGTGTAGTGGTGGTGTATGGGTTCCTGTGGTGTAATGTAGTGGTGGTGTATGGGTTCCTGTGGTGTAATGTAGTGGTGGTGTATGGGTTCCTGTGGTGTATTGTAGTGGTGGTGTATGGGTTCCTGTGGTGTAATGTAGTGGTGGTGTATGGGTTCCTGTGGTGTAATGTAGTGGTGGTGTATGGGTTCCTGTGGTGTAATGTAGTGGTGGTGTATGGGTTCCTGTGATGTAGTGGTGGTGTATGGGTTCCTGTGATGTAATGTGGTGGTGTATGGGTTCCTGTGATGTAGTGGTGGTGTATGGGTTCCTGTGATGTAGTGGTGGTGTAATGTAGTGGTGGTGTATGGGTTCCTGTGGTGTATGGGTTCCTGTAGTGGTGGTGTATGGGTTCCTGTGGTGTAATGTAGTGGTGGTGTATGGGTTCCTGTGGTGTAATGTAGTGGTGGTGTATGGGTTCCTGTGGTGTAATGTAGTGGTGGTGTATGGGTTCCTGTGGTGTAATGTAGTGGTGGTGTATGGGTTCCTGTGGTGTAGTGGTGGTGTATGGGTTCCTGTGGTGTAATGTAGTGGTGGTGTATGGGTGCCTGTGGTGTAATGTAGTGGTGGTGTATGGGTTCCTGTGGTGTAATGTAGTGGTGGTGTATGGGTTCCTGTGGTGTAATGTAGTGGTGGTGTATGGGTTCCTGTGGTGTAGTGATGGTGTATGGGTTCCTGTGGTGTAGTGGTGGTGTATGGGTTCCTGTGGTGTAATGTAGTGGTGGTGTATGGGTTCCTGTGGTGTAGTGGTGGTGTATGGGTTCCTGTGGTGTAGTGGTGGTGTATGGGTTCCTGTGGTGTAGTGGTGGTGTATGGGTTCCTGTGGTGTAGTGGTGGTGTATGGGTTCCTGTGGTGTAGTGGTGATGTATGGGTTCCTGTGGTGTAGTGGTGGTGTATGGGTTCCTGTGGTGTAATGTAGTGGTGTTGAGATATGGTTGGGTATCATTCCTATTATCTTCAGCTTGTGTTCCTATGCTGCCTCACACTCTCGTGCTCATTCTTCTCCTCACCAAAAATGAGGATGTAGAAGAATATGGAAATAATTATCATTGAGTTAGAAAAATATAAGGAATTTTTTTCTAATTTCTTATTTTGTAAAATTCAAATCAACTAAAGATCTGCTTTACTTACAGGCAGCAGAGAAAATGTTGAAGGCGGCCTTATATCTTGAGGACCGAGACTCAGCAGCAACATTCCAGAGAGGAAGAGCATGTCATTCCCTTACTGGTATATCATCAAGAGTCACATTAAGTAGTTGCTGCACACTTGCCTCTGACATAGAAGGTAAAGTTGGTCACCACACCAACATGCGCTACCCTTCCCTCCAAGGGTGTCCTTGTGACAACTACACTACTGATGACGCCAACTTCGTCTTGACGAAGACTGAAGAATTAATGAAGTTGCTAAGACCTCGTTTTGTAAGTTTGTAAATTTTATTATGTACTAAGTGGTACCCGGCGTTGCCCGGGTCTGTCTGTCTCCCATCTTCCATCTATCCATCTCTTTATGTTTCCGTTCATCTACGTGTCCATCTTTCTGTCAATCTTAGAATCTAAAGTGGGTCACAATAGAAATATCCATCAGCCTATTTATCCATCAGTCCATCAATTTATCTACACATCTATCTAACCATCAGTCTCTCTATTCATCTATCCATCCATCTATTCATTTAGCTGTCTATACATGTATCTTTATATTTATCCATCTCTATTTCTTCATTTATACATTTATCTTTCTATTTACGCAACCATCTATCCCTCCATCTACTGATCTATGAGGTTACCGGGAGGTGGATGGGATAGTCTGCCTCTCCTCCCAACCCTCTTCTCACATCTCCCCCTTTAAACCTCTCGTCTCATTCCCCTTTGTCCCCCTCCCATCTTTCTCCTTTCCTGCCTTCCCCTTCATCCCACCCCTTTCCCCTGGATCCTTTCCCTGCTTCCCCTTCTCCTCCAACCATTCCTTGCACCTCCACTCTCCCTCCTCCACTCCCCCCCTCTAGCCTCATTTCTCTATCTCTCTCTCTCTGTCCTACAATTTTACTAATAGAATAATATGAGCAAGTATCACTATGTCTTTATAACATTAAATATCAGTCACGCAGTATATAACAGTTCCCCTTTACAATTTGTGGGTTAATTTTCAGTTCTCTATTGAAGGAGGGAAGTTCAGAATTAAATTTGACATGTTTTTGGGGATTATATCCTTAGTTTAATACCTTATCAATGACCTTTATGTAATGCTATTCATACATATGTTTCTGTTATTCAAGCACATTCGCATTTGTGTTGCTCACGTGGCCCCACAGAGTGAGGTGATTACATGAAATATCTATGCCTAAGCTTACAACCAAGTGCTGTCGGAGTGTTGGGGAAATAGCCTCGGCTGCCAATGTCTTTTGTACAGTCATGGTTGGTCGAGTGGTTAAAGAACCGGGTACGCCATTGTGCATAGTGCTCCTTGCTGTCTGGGTTCGAATCCTTCTGGGGTGTGGAGTTTTCAGTTATCAATATATATATATATATATATATATATATATATATATATATATATATATATATATATATGCGAACAAGCCTGAATGGTCCCCAGGACAATATTCTGGGGTGTGAGTTTTCAGTTATATATATATATATATATATATATATATATTAATGCACAGACTACCCTATTCCAGTAGCTGAAGTTTATAACTTTTTAGACACTCAACCCACCAGGGGACTCGAACACTGGCCAACAAGGTGGCAGTTGCATGCTGTATCCACTACGCTATACTTCAAAGCCATAAAAGAGGTAGGAATTCTGGGGTATAGATATATATATATATATATATATATATATATATATATATATATATATATATATATATATATATATATATATATATATATATATATATATATATATATATGCAATTGACGATCACAAAACACTGATCATTTTATGCGGAAAATCCACAGAGAAATATGAAATGAGGTGAACGTTTCGGCTTTGTTAAAGCCTTTGTCAACACCAGACTGACTAAGGAGAAGGGAGAAGGGGGGAAGATATATAGGCCGACACCTGACCAACCCATCCCAAGGGTTGGTCAGGTGTAATTAACCAAAAACAGGTAAAGCTAAGCTTAGAATGGTCAAAGAGGATTAAGCGGTCAGAGAATAAGGATGAAAGATTAAAGAAAAGCCTCATGAACACACAATATATGAATATACAATTATAATGAGACATTGTAAGCCTCTCTATCAGAGTTGTTTCTTAAACTGTAGTGCAATATTATAACTTAAAATGGATCAAGTTTGTACATTCCAGTACTAACATTAAGAAGTTTTGGACACTGACTGATTAGAGCAGACTCAATCAAATTCCGTTCCACGAAATCCCCACAATTGGTAATGCTTTTTGCCCCATTCCAGTTAATATTGTGATCGCATAAACTCGTATGTAGATACAATGCATTAGACGTTTGGGCAGTTCTAATACTATAAGCATGTTGTGACAACCGCAATTGTAAGGACTTTCCTGTTTGTCCAAGGTACACAGAATCACAATCATTGCAGGAATCGAATACACACAACCTGCTGTATCAGGGGAGTTTTTTATTAAATTGGATTTGATCGTACTATTAGTGAACACCAAATTTATATTAAGTTTCTTAAAAATCCGAGACAATTTTTCAAGTCCACTCGCATAAGGTACCACCAATGAGTTAATAATTTTTGGTTTCGCCTTAGGGACGTGATTATAAAACGTACGCTTGGCTTGTACAAACGAGAAATCCAAAAACCTCTTAGGATATTGTAAACTCTTCCCAATTTCATATATTTTAGCAATCTCTTAATCAAAAAACTCATCAATATATATATATATATATATATATATATATATATATATATATATATATATATATATATATATATATATATATATATATATATATATATATATATATATTGATAACTGAAAACTCCACACCCCAGAAGGATTCGAACCCAGACAGCAAGGAGCACTATGCACAATGGCGTACAAACTTGATCCATTTTTAAGTTATAATATTGCACTACAGTTTAAGAAACAACTCTGATAGAGAGGCTTACAATGTCTCATTATAATTGTACATTCATATATTGTGTGTTCATGAGGCTTTTCTTTAATCTTTCATCCTTATTCTCTGACCGCTTAATCCTCTTTGACCATTCTAAGCTTAGCTTTACCTGTTTTTGGTTAATTACACCTGACCAACCCTTGGGATGGGTTGGTCAGGTGTCGGCCTATATATCTTCCCCCCTTCTCCCTTCTCCTTAGTCAGTCTGGTGTTGACAAAGGCTTTAACAAAGCCGAAACGTTCACCTCATTTCATATTTCTCTGTGGATTTTCCGCATATATATATATAAATATAAATATATATATATATATATATATATATATATATATATATATATATATATATATATATATATATATATATATATATATATATATATATATATATATATATATATATATATATATATATATATATATATATATATATATATATATATATATATATATATATATATATATACATATATATATATATATATATATATATATGTATAGATACCCGTGTGAGCCAGTGAACGAGGCTTTGTGTACATGCGTGTATGAGGAAAAAATAGTGAACGGTGATTCGTGGAACAGTGATGTGGAATGGGTATCACAACAACATATAAGTTGGAAGTGAAGGAAAATCGTGCATAGAATATTATAAATATAGAATACTAGAAATATAGAATAGTGGCAAGAGGCGGCATCAGTGGTTATAAATCGGGTAACTGGAAACTGGTGACATCAACCTGGGACCACAAGAGGTCACCTGTATTCACCGGGGACCAGCTTCGCTACCCTACGCTAAGTACCTGCCATAAAGTTTGCACAAAATAACATACATAATATTACAAATATACGGTATACACATAATATTATAAATATTAAACATAAATATATACATATAATTTTATAAAGAGTTAAAAGGACTGACATCAACAAGTGATCCATACAGTGAACCTCAAATACAACACAATACACCAGACAATGGAGAGGTGTGGCGAGTGTTCGGGAGTACTGGGAAGACGTAATGCAGGCGTAATGTGCTGCATCTGTAACATAAGATTTCACCTGGGCTGTACAGAATTAGCTCCAGGATGCATAAAGAGGCAAGGAATTTACTGGGTTTGCAAAGATGACAGATTAATGTTAGAGAACATAACTAAACTGATGAAAAACATTCCCGAGTCACAGAGATTATCATTCACAGACAAGCTACCAGTGATATATGCGGACTGGGAAAAGTCAACATTGGATAACGACCAAAACTCAGGAACAGATAGTTTAGAGAACCGCAGCAGTAGTGTGGAGGAGGAGGGTATGGTGGTACAAAATAACAGCAATATTGCAGAGCCAGATAATATAAACGATGAGAGCAACAGTGAGACAGAGTGCATAGATGAAGGAATTGGGACGAAAAACGGAGATGGCTCCAATAAAGCGGTAGACAAGACAGTCACAGATATAAATACCTTGAAAAGCGCAAAACCGGAACATATTTGCAAATTCTACTCTAAAGGAATATGCAAATATGGAAAATTAGGAGCAAAATGCCATTTTCTGCATCCTCGAAAATGCAGGAACATGTTGGCGAGGGGTACATGCCGTTTTGGAACAGGGTGTAGATACTTCCACCCTAAATTATGTCAATTTTCAATTAGGGACAAAAAATGCTACAATCTTCAGTGTCCGGAATTCCACGTGAGAGGTACACAGCGTTATAGACGGGAAGATCAATATGACACTACTGGAAATTTTTTAGAGGAAGGCAGAAACAGAGTAGTAAATATAAGAGAGAGGAACAGTCTGATGGAACCACTACAGGATTACAGAGGGGAAGGGAGATACCCACAAGACTGGAATACAAATTATCAACAAGCACACAGGTACTACACCAGACAACTCCCGTCCAACTACCAAAACTGGACGAATCACTTCCAAAACAACACACCCTGGACGCAAACACAGTGGCCTCCTTACCAGAGCCTCAGATATTAACACCAAGTAAGGCTTCCAGTACTACCACTAACACGATAACATCATTTATATTTGCCAACATCCAGGGTATAAAAACACGCAAATCCAACAAAGTTCACTTTATAGATGGTCTCCTTCATGAGGCAAATGCAGTGTTTGCAGCCCTAACAGAAACCCACACAAAGGACTACCATGATGGTGAAATATGGATCTCAGAGTACAATCTTTTCAGATGTGATAGGAAACACCGGCTTCAGGGTGGGGTCGGCCTCTACATCAAAGACACACTCATCTGTACTGAACTGCTAAACACCTCAAATGATATGGTGGAAGTGCTGATAATCAAAATAGAGATTCTAAATGTAGTTATTGTCCTTGTATATAAGTCACCGGAGGCAAACCCTCAGCAGTTCAAAGACCAACTAATGAAAAGAGAACACTGCTTGGAAAACCTCACAAATCCAGCTCCGAACATCATCCTGCTTGGGGACTTCAACCTACGGCACCTTAAATGGAAGCACCTGGCTAATACGGTAATATCAGAAAGAATACCAGGAAGTAGCCTAAATGAACAGGCACATGCAAATGACCTGCTACGGATGTGCGACAGGTTTGCCTTAAACCAGCAAATAGTAGAACCAACTAGGAAGGAGAACACGCTGGACCTCATTTTCACTAATAATGATGAATTGATCAGGAACATAATGATTACAAATACCTGTTACTCCGATCACAACTTAATTGAAGTTATGACAACCATGGGGAGTAGACCTTCAAAACCAGTCCAGATTCCCGGTGGAGGAGATTTCAGCAAATTCAACTTCAATAATAAACAGATAAACTGGGAGCAAATAAACCAGGACTTCACAGAAATAAACTGGGAAGAACAACTAGAAAATGCAAACCTGAACAAATGCCTGGAAAAAATGAGCTCAGTAGCACTAGAAATATGTTCAAACCGTATACCCCTAAGAAAAAAGAGGTAGAGATGCAGATTGGAACGGGAACGTCGTTCCCTATATAGGCGAAGAAAACGAATCGCGGAACAACTTGAGAGTCGCACCCTATCTCAAGAACGGCGAAGAAGGTTAGGTAGAGAAATAGAAACAATTGAACGGAAGCTACAAGAATCATACAAAACCCAGGAGAGGCAAAGAGAGCAAAAGGCCATCAGTGAAATAGAGAGAAATCCGAAATATTTTTTCTCCTATGCAAAATCAAGATCAAAAACCACATCTAGTATCGGGTCCCTGCGAAAGGGAGATGGAACTTTCACCGATGACAACAAAGAAATGAGCGAGCTACTGAGGAAGCAGTACGACTCTGTTTTCAGCGAGCCATTAAACACACTAAAGATTGATAACCCAAAGGAATTTTTCATGGATATGATACCAACATCAAATCATATATCAGACGTCACCCTATCCCCACTGGATTTTGAAGAAGCCATAAACAGTATGCCTATGCACTCTGCACCAGGCCCGGATTCTTGGACCTCCATATTCATAAAGAACTGTAAAAACCACTATCGCAGGCCCTTCACATTCTGTGGAGACAAAGCCTAGATACTGGCGTTATTCCTGATATACTAAAAACAGCAGAGATAGCACCACTTCATATAGGAGGAAATAAGGCAGAGGAAAAAAATTACAGACCGATAGCACTAACATCGCACATCATAAAATTTTTTGAGAGAGTGCTAAGAAATAAGATCACAAAATACATGGAATCACAGCATCTCCATAACCCCGGACAACATGGTTTCAGAACAGGGCACTCTTGCCTGTCGCAGTTGCTGGACCACTATGATATGGCATTAGATGCTATGGAAGACAAACAAAACGCTGATGTAATTTACACAGATTTCGCAAAAGCTTTTGATAAATGTGACCATGGTGTTATTGCACATAAAATGCGTTCAAAAGGAATTACCGGAAAAATAGGCAGATGGATCTACAATTTCCTGACCAACAGAACCCAATGTGTAATAGTCAACAAAATAAAATCCAGCCCATCAACCGTGAAGAGCTCAGTCCCCCAGGGTACTGTGCTTGCTCCAGTACTTTTTCTCATCTTCATTTCGGACATAGACGAGAACACAACCTATAGCACTGTATCATCCTTTGCAGATGACACTAGGATCTTCATGAGAGTAGGCAACATAGAGGACACGGCAAACCTCCAGGCAGATGTAGATCAGGTCTATCTATGGGCTACAGAAAATAATATGGTGTTTAACGAAGATAAGTTCCAGCTCATGCGCTATGGAAAAAATGAAAATATAAAAACGGAAACCACGTACAAAACTCAGGCAAATCATTACATAGAACGAAAAGGCAATATAAAGGATCTGGGTGTACTCATGTCGGAAGACCTTACCTTTAAAGAACACAATAAAGTAGCCATCACACCTGCAAGAAAAATGACAGGTTGGTTAACAAGAACTTTTCACACTAGAGATGCTACACCGATGATACTTTTCAAAACGCTTGTGCTCTCTAGAGTGGAGTACTGCTGCACAATGACAGCCCCTTTCAAAGCTGGAGAAATTGCTGACCTGGAGAGCGTGCAGAGATCCTTTACTGCTAGAATCCACTCAGTAAAACATCTAAACTATTGGGACCGATTAAAGAGCCTAAAACTGTACTCCCTTGAGCGCAGGCGGGAGAGGTACATAATAATTTACACGTGGAAAATATTAGAGGGGCTGGTCCCAAACCTGCACACAGAAATAACATCACATGAGACCAGAAAACATGGCAGGATGTGCAGAATACCCCCGTTGAAACGCAGAGGTGCAACAGGTACTCTGAGAGAGAACTCTATCAACATCAGAGGCCCGAAACTGTTCAACACGCTTCCGCTACACATAAGGGGCATAACTGGCCGACCCCTCACAGTGTTCAAGAGAGAACTGGATAAGCACCTCCAAAGGATACCTGATCAACCAGGCTGCGACTCATATGTTAGGCTGCGAGCAGCCACGTCCAACAGCCTGGTTGATCAGTCCGGCAACCAGGAGGCCTGGTCGACGACCAGGCCGCGAGGACACTAAGCCCCGGAAGCACCTCAAGGTAATCTCAAGGTAAGGTACCCACCCACATACAGACTGGCTAAACGACTCAACGGGTTGCTGACTCCTTACGTACCTTGTGCTTTTAGCCTGAAGTCTCCCAAGGAATTTGTTGACCTACTGCGGAGAGCGCAGGCCACGGGGATAAGAGCCTCATTGGATGAAGAGTCACTATTTACCAACGTGCCGGTGGACGGGATGATAGCAGACAGAGTGTATCGTAACCCAGCTTGCACTCCTCTTGACATGCCAGAAAACACACTGAGGAAACTAATCCAAGCCTGCACTAAAGAGGCATCCTTCTTGAGCCCAGATGGGCACAAGTATAAGCAAGTAGATGTGGTCGCCATGGGTTCCCCCCTAGGTGTCCTGTTCGAACTTCTACATGGGCACCATCGAGCAGAGGGTCTTAGTTGACATGGGCTTGAAACCCGCCATATACTGCAGGTATGTTGACGACATTTTTACACAGGTACCTGATGCCAGATGTCTGCAGCAGCTGAAGGAGGCATTTGAGCGGAATTCTGTGTTGAGCTTCACTTACGAAATGGAGAATAATGGGACGCTGCCCTTTCTGGATGTAACAGTCACGGAAAAGAGCGGAGGCTTCCACACTGCAGTCAACACTAAGGAAACCAACATAGGAATGTGCCTCAATGCCAAGAGTGACTGCCCAGACAGGTACAGGAGGAGTATTGTCAACGCTTACGTCGACCGTGCTCTCAGCCACAGCTCAGATTGGAAGCAAGTCGATGAAGAACTCTGTAGGGTATGGCAGGTCCTAGTCAACAACGGCTTCTCTAACGGTTTCGTTGAAGACATCATAAATAGAAAGTGAAACGCCATGCAACCTCTGAAGAGTCAACTAACACAACACTTGTACCCCCTATTAGACTATTTTACAGGAACTTCTTTTCGATGGCTCATAAAACAGAGGAAAGGGTCTTGAAAGATATTGTTGATAGGAACGTTATCCATACAGACAAAAATCAGAAAATACAATTGACAATCTATTATAAAACCAAAAAAACGGCAATTCTACTCATGAAAAACTCTCCAAATACCAAGCAGAACGCCTTAAAAGAGACCAATGTCTTCTATGCCTTTAAATGCCCACTTGGGGACTGTAAGCCCCCTAAGAACTCAGTATATAGGCAAGACAATAATGTCTCTTTCCAGGCGATTAACAATGCATAAGCAACAGGGCTCCATCAAGGAACATATAATAATCTCTTCTCACAACCAGACCATCACCAGAGAAATCTTAACAAACAACACAGAAATCAGCGATAGGTACAGCGATAGCAGGCGGCTTGACATCAGCGAGGCACTATACATCAAAGAGTCAACACCAGCAATCAACAGCCAATTAATGCACAACTACATTCTACTCACTTCAAGACCCCAAACCAATATGGAAGCAGCAAGAAGAAGTATGGGCCAATAGGCCTTCTGCAGTTACTTCCATTCATATGTTCACTTATCCAATTTATACCCATTGTTTCGTGTTCTGTCTTGTGTTTGTCACCTCACCCAAAACTTTTGTACCATCTCACCTCATCCAATAGAGTATAAGTACAAGGAATTTGTGTGTAAATTATTTTTACGGGCTCACCATAGCCCACTTAGCCCCATGGTTGTCATTAGACAGTTGTATTTCTTTTTTTCTTTCCCTAGACATTTTTGATAATCTTTGTGAGGCCACATTACAGGACTTGCAACTGTACGGCAATATGAACCTTACTAAGGTGCATGGGTTTGTAAAAGGGTGCAGGCAGGCCTCATGACTTCCAAACACTTTCAGAAAACCGAGTGGTTACAGCACAGTACTACTGGGGGCCTAGAAACCCTGGCTGATCGGGTTCGAATCCCTCAGGGATCCAGAGTTTTTGGTTTTATATTGGCTTTGAGACCATTCAGCCTTTATGCATA